TTCGGGAAGATGCAACTCCCCATGTAAGTGAAGTGCTCGACACATTCCACCACTTCACTCCCTATCACTAAACTGGGAGTCGTTGCAGACCAGTCCTGGAGCATCATCTTTCGTTTGAAAAGTGCCAGCGAAACGTTTGTCAAACATTCCCAGATTTCTGCTGAACCCGCTCAGAAAACCCTGCATTGCGTCAGCGTCTTCACCTAACAGGACAATACCTTCTGCACACTCCAAACCAACCAGATGACCTACAGAGGGTAGGTCTGTCCCTGTGAAGTCAAACGTACATAGGGTTACACGTCTATGACGAAGTTAAGTAGGGACGGCGACTGTGAACATACATGGCGGACACTAGTTGTCACATGACAACTCTCCATTAGCCCTAACGTGGCTTGGCGAGTTGAAGTGGAGAGCTTTGATTAGCGTTATTTACTCGCTTGGTACTCCCTTCCCAGTCAGAGACTGCCAAAACACCTCACTGTCGAACAAGTCAAATACCGCCTTCAGGCCAAGAAATATGGCAAGTGTCGGCCACTAGCCAGTAGGTAAACCTGTGTTCCAGAACCTGCCAGACGGTAAAACTATTACCTATGCATCTTCGTCTAGATCTGCCTGAAACCTCCCCGGTTTCCTCGAGCTCCAGTAAGGCGTCAGATAACTATGGGCCCAAGTATCTTGCACATAATATTAGTCAAACTAATTCTCCGATGACTGTCACAAGATTTCTCTCTATTATGGACTGAGATGGTCAGTGAAGTAGACAAGTCTAACGGCGCTACCTCTGATCCCCATACACTACTTTGTTCCTCCATCACTATAGCCAAAAATCTCATACTCCATATCGCTGAAAACTCCAGGTGGCAAACTGTCAGATCCTGCTGCTTTGCATGGCTTCAGGTTCAAGGAGGGTTGGAGGACCAACATCTACGTCTCATTCAGGTTCAGGCTGAATATTGGACAACTGTAGGCTTGTTAAGGACCAGCTGAACTGTGCTCCAAAGTGTTCTGCCCAACGTTCCAGCCACCTCTTCTGGAAGGCTATCACCGTCCCATCGTTTTTGGTGATTTTACTCACCATCGTCTTCCTCTTGCCAGTATCCTTGATAAGCTTAAATAGTTGCCGGGTGTTACCCAACACTGATGCCATCTCCACCTCTCTCGCTTTCACCACCCGCCACCGCTTGTGGTAGACGTGGAGACTCTTGGTCAACTTACGTTGAAGTTGCTTTCGCTCTATATCGTGGTCAGCCTCCTTGCATCAGTCAGTTCAGATGACGTCACAAAAATCCATTGACGTTTGCTAACCTTCTGGTGTAGGTTACTAATCGTCTTTACCGCTGTTTCTACACCAGACTTAATATCACTCCAGGTTTCCTCAGGATGGGCATCGCTGTCACGTTCACAGAAGTGCTTAGCTAACTACTCTATAAATGTGTGCCTGTCCTCATCTTCCAATCGAATACAGATAGGCTTTACTGCCGCTTGGGCCAATAGGGCCTAGATAAACGCGGGCCCTTACTAGCGTGTGATCGGCGTCCAAACAGGTACCACAGAAAGATCCTCTCAAACGATGGCTAATAGCAATATAATCTATCTGTGTTCATCGTTTGTTTTTGGACCGCGGACGCCTTGTGAAAGTGTCTACTTATGCTTGATGAAGTTAGTGTTGGCCAGAAACAAGTGATGTCGGAGCGAAATTGAAACAGACTACCACTGTTGTCGGTTCGTTGGTATGGGATTCCATGAATAACCCCAAGATACCTTTCAGATTGGCTTAGCTTCCCTAATTGAGCATGGTTTTGCTCTCTGTAACAACTGACAGCTCCTCATAGAATTCATCTTTTGCATCATCTGAACTGCAGTCGGTGGGTACGTGGCGGAGACTACAAACAGGCATCGCCTAGTCTCCCGATCTTTCCTATTTTCTGTAGATCCACTCAGTCGAACAGCACACAGATGGTTGTTGACTGGTATCCAATCGAGAAGCACACTTTCTGCTCGACAATCCAATGCTATGCCTGATCCACTAATCGTATGAGAACTAGCCATTGGGTATTCGCGTAATCGTAATCCAACAGACCTCTCTGGCATGGGAGGACCTCGAGGGAACAAGCGTCCCACCAGTATAGGTCGTTGGGTCATTATGATATGCGAACCCGACCACCACGTCAAGGTAGCAGCTATCTATCGGGATTTGACGTATCATATACAGTGCAATGACTTCGAGATCAAGTATATAGGTTTAACTAGCCAATCTAGGGCAAATAGATTGTATAAACGGGAATTTATTCAAATGTGAAACGATAGACATCAAAAAGACCAACAATCTGGGGGGGAGTAAATGATATTCTAATGCATGCACTGACAAAACCACACAATAAGGTGAGATACAACGCTATACTTAAGTCCAACATATTTAGTTGGAGACAGGGACTGATTACTAAATCTTTGTTCATTGAACCAACACAACAGATTCATTAGGAATGGCCCAACACCTATAGCGGAGATGTAGAAAACTTTACTGTCAATAAGAAAACAAAGAATATGAGTTGATAGGACTACAGAAGTCAGACGCTGATACTCTTATGATTACCTTGATATGATTTTGAGAAACTACTTATGCTCGAAATGTCAAGCAATAAATAATGTCCAAGTACGTTACATGAGATACACAAATACGGAAAGGAACGAGTACACCAAATTCGGTAGTACCACATATCGTAAGAACTTACTGTTCAACATCGATCATGTCAAGACAACCTGACTTGGAGTGAAATGCTGAGGCGCATTTCCTACCCATGGGACCACATATACTCCCTGATGGCTGATTTGTTCTGAAACTATGCAAGACCCAAAAACCTCATAAGGCACTCACAGACTTTAACCACCTGTATGACATTTAAATATTTATACTAGGATGCCTACAATATCACAAAGTACGCTAGCTAACATACGATAGTGAAAAACTATTATGATTGGTAGGAGAAAGCTATAAACATTGATCACAAGTAAACTCAGAGCACTACTTATGTCTGTAAGAACAGCTTAGTTTAAGATGATGGGGGACTGTAAGTGATAAGGATATAGATCGAAATAACAAACAAATGAAAACAGAATTATGGTAAGAACAACACGACTACACACAACGATATCAATAGGAAATATACAACAGGTCTGTGGTTCATTGATTAGCCACACACAATGTGTAGCCCATTGCACAAATATGCACAATGTTGCTGAATGTATATGTCTCTCCCTCTTGGCTAGATAACAAGTTATTGAGCGTTAGTAAAGTGCTCACAATCTCGATGACAAACAGTTCATGTACTTGCGACCCCATGGTTGGACTTTCACACGAAGCTTCTGACCTTCTATTCTCAAGATATCAAAAACAAACAAGCAGTGTATAGATTCCGAGCAAATGTCAGCGACGTCAAGCATTGTTGCTGCATCCCGCTTTAGTTATTCTGATCTTACAAATTGATTCTACCCCCATAATTACAGCTACTACGATATAAAGACGACTATAGTGTATCATACATGATCCAGCCGTACCAGTCGCTTCTAGTTCACAATCTCATCAACTGGCTTATACTACGTCTTGTACTCTATAACTAGCCTCAGTTATGCCCCTTTGGATCCACCATATGTCAAAAACACTGCACATAAACCTATTTTTGAAACTTTCAAACTGCGAGTAGTCCAGTTTAAGAAACATCGTAAAGCTGTGTGGTAAAGGAAGACACAGTGATCGTCAGTTGGACATGTAGCTAATAAGATATAGAATGGTCAATACGGAACAGGTCTTATTAATTCACGCTGAGACCCTACCGGCAACAGAAATCCTTAGAAACTTATGCCATCCCTACCGAATAGGTTGCCTGACGTAACAGTTAACCACATTCGATATCCTTAAACTAGGTATCAGTTTTTACACCGAAGTCCAACTTTTGTGAAGTACCAAAGCAAGCCCGGACTTCCACCCGAAGTGTTCCGATCTCGCATCTTGTTAAATTTTTTGCTTAACAGAATCGAAAAGAAATTAAAATCCATTCGGCAACCTGGAGCACACCAGTGCAGTACAAAGGAGCCATACCTATTATGTGAAGGATAATCATACTAGCGGTATTGTTAGACATCAGCAGATGGATTCGGCATCGTAACCAGTCACTTGGAAGTCGAGTGTTCAGACTAATGAGTCACAGCTCCATCACTTAAAAAACCCGCAACCTGTATTGTCAATATTAATTAGCGCTCTCCAGACGGCAAGTTATCCTTGAAGTTAGAAGTTACTTTTATTGTGGTCTCCATAACAAGGTCCAGTAGGAATAGCCAGACTGAACGTCTTCCACGGACGCATCTGGGTATTAACACACAGACGACAAGTCTTACCACATTTAGGTTTTAATACAGTAAGAAACTACATCTGGATGGATCTGTATATCAGCTTCAGACACAGTAATATGGGAAGCATGGGATATCAGCATGTTTGCATACAGAATCTGCCGACAGGTGAGTATCTGGTCAACGCATCCTCAGATTTGAAACTCACTCACTTTTCCTATATTTGCTACTTCCGGGAACCAGTTAGAGATCGATGACTGGAAACCCTAAAATTTTAGATGCTGTTTTCATCAGGCTCATTTTTGTTGCTATCGCACACAATTTTAACTCCTTCCCTTAGGAACTGGTCAACAATGGAAATGCGTCTCATGAAACCACTTATTTCTCGTACGACTGATACCGCAGTTAGTACGGTCCATTATCTCAAAACACTTTCGGTGACCTCTAATATGCCTAACGTTGATAAATTTTCAAAGAATGAATTCAATACTGTGTTCAATTTGCGACAGAATGACAGATCATTTAACGCGTTGCTGTTCGTCAAAATCCTACACCTAGTACGATAACCACCTTTTCGGAAAGCTTGTAAAAGCCGAAATAGCCCTCCATTAAAACGGAAAACAAATCTCTACAAAACAAGTATATTAGTTAAATAATCAAAATGATCCTTTCCCGGATGACAAGAAAGCTGCTGCACCCGCAGCAATTAACATTGACACGGAGTAGTTTCTGATTTAACTGTTAAGGAAGTCATCGTATGAATGTGAGAAGCCAAGGAGTTCAATACTACAGGAAACCACTTAAAAACAAAAATGTTTCGAAGTATATCAAAACAATCAAGACTTTTGAGCATTCAAATCCACTAAAAGAATCTAAGAAGTTAAACGACTACACAAAGCACATAATTATACATCGCATTTTCACCAGTCGTGTCACAAATAATCAACTAGACAACAGCAAAGGCTATACACAATCGGTATTAGCATACGAATTGGCAGGAATGGAAAGATATTCAGATAGGTAAAATGGGTAGGCATGAATAATTCAGTAAAAATTTCTTTTTAACACTACGATAATAAGTGGATAATCCAGCATCATCAAACCCAGTCTTGAACTGCCGCTGTGTAATGAAACTCCTTCATTGAAGGCGCTTTCTGAGCTACAGCTAAGTATTCTCCACGTAGGTGTGGATACTTCGTCTAGGTACTCTATTTCGAACCCCACTTTACCAAGGTTTGTAGAACCAAGTAGTGTCATTAGCTTTCCTGAAAGTGTGCATGGATTTCGACTTTGAGCTCACGATTCTTAAAATTAAGTGAATTTGTGCTGCATTGACTTCGTTGCTCTTCCAACTCATCACTACTTCGGTCATCGTCGCACAATAAGGTTAGTTGTCGATCGGCATGCGTAGTGAATACCACGGTAAAACTCGGTCTAATCTTACAAATGCTCTTGCTGATTCACCTTTTATATCAAAAATCTGCAGCTAATTTCATTATTGCTTACCTACGACTGCAATTCACTTAATCCTACAAACAAACAGACGACAGGTTGTCTGTAGCTTAATATCCATATCTCGAAGCCGTAGAGTAGGACACATTAGTATATCTAACTTTGGCTACACAGTGAGATGCCATGAATAAATAATAGTTTATTTTGGCGAGTATAGGCTTCAATTTTACATTAGCAACCATGAGGTCTAGCCACTTTCTCACCGAAGATATCATAAGATATCGGACTGAATAGTACTCATGTGTGAGTAAAACACTGAAAACTCGACCGAGTTTCGATCCATTGTGATTAACCTCAGATGTGATATGCCTCCGCGATACATATTAACAATTTAGAAGCACTGAGTATCAAAAAGAAAACATTAATTACACATTACAAATACCTTAAACTGACTCAAGTTGCTACAATGTTGAAGTGATGCATATCAGTAAGGTACTACGCTGAATAATCTATTCCGCTTCAAAATTTTCGCTGAAATTGCTTGTTTGGTACAACAATCAACTATATTGCTTGGATTAACAGTTAAAGTTCACTTAAGAAACACAAGCTGTTTGAGTGTATTATGGTAATCAGAATTTTCCTAATATACAGTCACTTACAACTAACAGCTGTTATATAAAACTATAAGAGCTGAGTAGAGAAAGTAAATAGCATATCAAGTCATAAGGAGATGGTAGACAATAATGAGAATACGATGAAGTAAACGGAATCGAAGTATGGGTTCAAATGCATTCTGACAAAGACTAAGAGAGAAAATAGTACACTGACTATAATTTGTCATCGCGACAAAAATTTATGCACAGTGTTGAGAAAATTGGCTAATGTTTGATCTCAACTTACACATTTTTCATGGACATTCGCCACAGACGTGCAAGCAGTATTTGAATGTACCTCAGATGACCAGTGTAATATAACTGATCAGATACTGATGGTTTTCCACACATCAACTGATGTGTACAAGATTACGTACAGCTCCAGAGAGCGCTAAATCTAAAATAGCAATTCATCATTTCATGAAAGCAATTAAATTGAAAAAGAAAGCAGTGATTAGGTGATACAAAGTGCTAGAATGCACAATAACTGCTTCGAAGACTCGATTTCAATGGGGAAGTATGCAGACCCCGCCATAACTTATTTAAAACAGAGACTAGTTTCTGATTGTTGAACAACACGGTGCTAAATTTCGTACCATGAACACTAAAATCCACAGACTTTACGCGTTGCGATCCAGAAGTCTAACTTCCAAAAGCTCTTAAAACACGCATCACAAAAAACCTAATAACGCGAGGCCACACTTAGATAGGTGCATAGGTGTAGCTGATAGCAGAGGGGTTTGAAATTTAGTATGTCACTGTTAGAAAACCTTATGCTATCCAGTGACTAAAACATCACGTCCTGTTTAAATGTAACCTTTAACCTGCACACAGAGGTTAACTGGCGAAAAATCTCAGTTCAGTTAAGTGTAAAACCTGGGCATTGTAGTAGAATTTAATCCCATACTAGATTAGTTTATTTGGTTTAAAACACAGTGATACAGTACATAATCATGACAATGTTGTGATTTATGATATGATTGTGAGCAAGAGTTTATGCTCGAAACGCCATCAAGCAAACAGTACTGTATCACTGTTATAAATCAAATAGACAAATCTAATATGGACTTAGTTGGGATTGATTCATTTCGGATGAGACCATATCCTGAGGCTTAGAAAGACTAACAGTAGATAAACAAAACCATATAGAAATGAAAGGCTTGCATGGGAGCTGATGTAAGGCACGTGAGTATAAAATAGGCATTTCTATGGACTACTTAAGCTGGACTGAAGATCTAGGCAGTACTTTATTTTCTTCTTTTTAAGGATGGCAACCTTTTGGTCTACCGTGAGTCTCAAAAGCTCAGCCAACACTTTAGTGCATGGGGAATCAGTTAACTGCACGTAACACGAACATATAAGGGGAAATAAAAACCATAGCTAGGCATCATATCAAGGCACTCACGTGATTTATAACCAAGCATTCACCATGAAAAAAAAATACGAAATAACAATGCGCTTCAGATGTTTGAAAAAATGTTGCTGCTTATAATCGATTACAATGCACAGAATTGGGATAAATTCGGTTTTGTGCAAGTTGCATATCTTTCTTTAGGGATGGTCCACTATGGATCTGATGCTTAATGCTAATTTACCTCAGGTCTTTAGCAATAAAGGTGATTCAACAGCAGACAAATAAAAGAACCTGGCATAGAAGTGCAGCGACGTAGGGTAAACATTCGAATGGCTCACATCGTAATTAAAAGCTTTCATTGCAAAAAGGATACACTGCGTTTGAGAAATGATGAAGTACAGCAGACAGCAGCAAAAGAATCAGCATAAACAGGCAATTGTTGTAGAATATTGAGAAAGTTGTGGATTCATGATCAGCAACCTTTTTGGTAAGTTCACGAATACTTCGAGAGAACATATTGATAAATACTACTTACGCATCTTCCCTGCTTTCCTCGACATACTTTTATCCTTGCCAGCTTGAGAATTCACCTGCTTTGTAATTGCCTCAGTTCGACGAACGGCGATTCTAGAAACAACATGAGACCATTCTAAAGAATACCTTTCCATCAGTGGAGATTTTGAGTTCTTGTAAGCCAGAGACATGAGAAAGGCTGTAGCTACTGACACAGTAATGTACAAAAAGGAGTTAGATATGAGTGGCATTTTGAGAATACGCCAAAATAACCCTAGATGTTTGGTTACTGCAGATCAAGAACATACAGATAGGAATCAACGATATCGTTACTGCATTGACATATACCAGCTTGTCTGAGTTTTTAGAGGCAGCTTGGCTGTACTCTTCCAGTAGTTGTTCATCTTCTTTCGTAATTTTAACAACCATTGTCAACGTATTGCTCCGTTAAGTCCGAAATGCGCACTCGTCACATCGTCAAACCTAGAGCGAACAAACAAACTCTTCTCACTTCAATATGTCGAACGTTTTTAGCGTAGTTTCTGTTCTTCAGCCTCCATACTTTTAATCTTGAATAGCATTTGTTGGATATGGAGGTGAGACTTATTATGCCTTGGCCAGGATACAAAAAAGAGACTCTGACACACTTCAAAATTCAAACTTGGTGTTGTGGAATTAGTCAGCGATGGTTCTTGAGTTTTAAGACTGTTTGGAACGGTGGCATTTATCTCACATTGATGGTATCAAGGTAGACTCCCCAGTCAGAAACTTCAAGATAAATTTTCCATTGAGTGGAACTATTGGGTAGAAAAGAGTTGATAACGTAAAGGTCGAGTGGTAACAGAAGGAGGTTAAATCTTCCTCACAGATTACAGTTTGCCTTGTTTCCGATTACGACTAAAAGGGATCAATTTGGATTCAAAGGATGGAAACATGCAATGCACCATGATTTAAGTTTCAGTTTCAGGCTTATGGATATTATGCAAAAGAGCTCGTAGAGATTAACACTGAAGTCATTATTCATGATAGGATATCCTTATCTTCTTAATTCCTCTTATTTTACAGGTTGGACCTTAAAAGCCTATTAATGGTCTACGCCCTACTGGTTTCATGGTCCAATAACACAATACCCACACATTCCTCCGAAAAGGCAAGATCCGTGTGAGGTAAGAATAAATGAGTGGGTTCTTCTTTACCGTCCGGCATGATATCTGCGTATGTTTGCTGCTAGGCTTGAGGGTAACTTCCACGGAGTTCTGAAACAAGGTTGCTAAAAGTTCGGAAAGCTTACTTTCCATGGAGTAATAACGAACAGTAGTTGTAACCTTACCGTTAGTATTTGCCCCAAGGTCCTTTTCAATGTCCCGACACGGAGTATTTGTTCCTCTTAACAACTGAAAGTTCCAAACTGACTTTATGTCGGTAACCAGCTCACTGGGATCAATGACCTGAAATTGGCGTTATTCAATATTAATGCTGATGATCACAGTTTGCCAGACATTATGGAGCATTCAAAACCTTCAAAATGTTGTGCCACTCTACGTTGCGCAGCTCCACAAGGATCCACTCACCCTCCAGTCCACGCTTCCTGGTATACTCATCAAAAATGCCATTCATATCTGGCAATCCAAAGATGCATCCCCTTCGTCTCACCCTCCTGAGTATTCGAAAAGCAAAACGAACCCCCGGTCTACCTTATGTCTATCAAGATAACGTGCGACAACTCTCAGTTTCCCAACCCTTTTCCTTTCCGTACTTGCGCACCAAATTTTTATGACAATAACTCTTTTATACTCCTACTGCCACTTTCCACGTCTTAATTCTGCATGCTCTCCTTGTGGTCCTGGATTTCGGCTGTCCAGCCTCTGCCTACTTATAATTACAAAGTGTGGAATCTACGGATGCACATTATCTGCTAATCGCGGCTGTCATCAATCTGCTGTAACTAGCGTTTTTAAATCTCTGTACCTAACTCAGTAATCTAGATTCTGGAACAATCTGCTGAACAGCCGATTTACTAACAAAGCTAAGTTCGAGAGACAACTTACATTTATGTTACAGCTAAGTTTGTAACCCTGCCATTTTTATTGTCAGATAACGCATTTTCATCATTTTTTTGTGGTCCGTGGCTGGTAACGTTGACGTGCGTAAAGCTTTTTTGTCAGAAATAAACCCATCCGTGAGGCCAAAAGGCTGAGGCTTTCGAACTCATCACTGGGTTCTAAAAATAGTGTGTTGGCTAACACTTCTTCTGTCGATCCTCTAACACCCAACACAACAAGTGATAATATTGGCAGCAACCAAGGAACCTCCCCGAAATTGATCCCACCCCCGTCCCTCCCAAGGCCACATACGAACCTAACCTGCCAAAACGAGCTTTCCGAAAACATATATGAGCACTGCCACTTGTCCAATTATTTAACCCTCTGCTGAGGAGGGCTTATTCTATGTGCAACAAAGTTGGTCAGACCACTATGTTATCAATTATACATAACCCCCGACCAATACTTATCACTGAAGCTTGGTTTACTTCGGGTGCTCCTGACAGTGATGTATCTGCCAACAATTATAATTGTTCAGAAGGGGAAAACAATGAAAGGAGTGGTGGTTGCGACGTTTATGTTACATGAAGTGTTGTCGCGACAGTACTCAAGGATTTAAGTTGCCAAGTGACTCAGTGTGGATTATGGCGAGGTTTCCAGGTACCATAACTCTTCTCGTAGGGTACATCTCCAGTCCCCTTGTTTTACTGTAGATCATGATGGTAGGCCGGTTGAAGTATTTGCCCACGCAACAACACTACCTTACCGGATGAAGCTCATGTGTAGGGGCTTTAATTTGCCTGACATCACGTGGTAGCCACTTGATGCCAGGCGTTTTGATAGGTTTCTTGGTATGTTAGCTCCTAGCAGACGTTGACTTAGAGGATATGAAGCATAGGAAGCGATACTTAGATTGGGATTCTTATTTCATCAGCGGCTCAACCGGTGAACTACGTGATATATCTTACAGTTCCCCAAATATAGCTCAAGATCAAATTGCTAGGGCAACTCCAGTAGCAAAACGAAATCCAAAGGCGAGTTTCATCCGGAAAGGTATGTACCACCACGTTGATTTATTATTATTATTAGTCCCTTGGGTTCCTAGTGGAACATAGGGCACGCCTCCATTTCATCCTGTTCTCTGAGATCTTTTGAACCTGGTTCCACGACAGCCCACAAGCTCTCATTTCCTCCTCGCACGACCTTCTCCATGTCACCCTCGGACGTCCAACTCGTCGCTTCCCATGGGGATTCCACTCGAGCAACTGGCCTGACGCGTGATGTCCTCAGTTGGCCTTCTCAGTGCATGGCCAATCCATCTCCACTTCTTCCTGCATATTTGTTGCGT